CTTGGAGTCTCATATTACAGCCAGTAAGATAAAACAAAAACAAAGTAGAGATTCAACATCTCATAGTAGAAAATACTTAGCAAAATAAAGTCATTTATAACACAAGTTTACTCTTTAAATAAATTCTACTATTTCATTAAACACATTCCTAATTCAATCCGACACTTATACTACTCACATCGTTTCACACATTTCACAGTATTTCATACATTCAACATGCCATTTACTTAAAACTTAATAATTTCACTCAAATAGAATACAGACTTTGTTTCAAAAAGACATTGACTGTAAGCTTCTGAGTTAACAATAACCTAAATAGAAAATTAAACAAAATTAAAATATTAAATGTGATGCATAAGTGTGTACTTAAGGCTGATTTGAGAGTTTATCTAATCCGCTCAGATAAGACACAAACACATCCCAGTGTATGGAAATGCTGGAATGTTTATGCCGTGTCCAGTTCCAACTCTTAACTCTCCTTAAACTGCAGATATGCAAATTCCCTGAGCTCCGGACACCCAAGGAAGTACACATCCATCACGGGACAGGCAAAGATTTCACAAAGTGCAAAGATGCACAACAGCACCCAAAAACCATCGGATTTTAGATAGAAAATGCTTCAAAAACTGAAATTTCACATATAGCTCATTTGATTTAGTTTAGCTTGTTGTAATATAACCTATAACCACTGTAACAGAAGTGCAACAGCTTGACTCTGACAATCTGTCATGTGCCTATTTCAATTTATAGGCAAATCATAATGTAACACTTATTGCTAACTAGCCTTTGTTCAAAATAACAATCCTATTCCCAAATGTAAAAGTAAACCAATCATCCAGATTATTCTGCAGAGATGCCCAAAATATTTAGTCAATAAAACGGAAGTTCGATCTAACCTCTCCCACTTTTTAATGAAAAGATGCTATAAAACTGTTTGACCTCACCTTAGTACAAAGCACAATTAAACGCACCAAATTCCACATCTGCAACTAGACAGGGCAGACTTGTACTTTTACGATGCCAGCAACAGAGCTCGGCTTTAACACCAAAGCACTGACTGTATCTCATCCCACAGTGTAGTGAAGTTGTGCTTTCAACATATGGGTTTATCATTCATACACAATCACACACACTGATCGTCCCATTGAATCATATAACGCACATCCGTTCTTGAGACCTGTCAAAGCAGCAAAGCCGCGTGAGTCTTGCTGACTTGCCAGAGGTCACAAATACTTACCATATTTGTACGACCATTGGGCGCACCGTGTTATAGGGCGCAGCTTCAGTTACGGGTGTCTTTTTGGTATTTAACACATACAAAAGGCGCACCGGGTTATAGGGCGCGGGCACGGGCACGGTAAAACGTACCAGTAAAACATCTGTGTGGGCTCAGGACTCGGAACATATCAGTGCAAACCAGACATTGTGAAAATTATAAACAGCCAAAAGCATGTTTCACTTTACTGGTCTAGTCCTGGTTCAAACCTGGTTTAGAGCGCACGTGCACTTCCTCATTGCGTGCGCTGACGGCTCATGCTCTTGTTATGCGCTGTGTTGAAGTTCAGAATGTGTTTACCGGTAGTTGGTGGATTTAACCACATAAACTTTCCACATGAACAAAATCATATGTGTGTTATTAATAGGCCTAAGAAAATAGAGTGATTTGAATTGTGTTTTATTAAAAAATGCAGCGGGAGCAAATATGAGTTCGGTTGTGCTTTATTTGAGTGCTATTAATTAATAATCAAATCCATCAAAGTCCTCATCTTCTGTATCTGATAAGAACAACTGGGCTAGAGTACAGTCAAACACGCCAGGTTCTCTCTCGTCACAGTCGGAGTCTGTCTCGTTGCCGTCCGTCTCCTCGTGAATGATGCCGGCTTTTGCAAAAGCCCGAATGACAGTACAAGCAGACACATTAGCCCAAGCATTTACAATCCATTCACAAATTGCAGCGTAACTCGCCTGGCGTTGCCTCCAGTCTTCATAAACGTGTATTCGCCATATGTCATCCATCGCTCCCACGCCATTCGCAGCCTTACTTTGAACGCCCTGCTCACGCCAATTTCCAGCGGTTGGAGTTCCTTTGTCAAGCCTCCCGGAATGACAGCGAGCTCCGAGCTCATTTGCTTCACCTGTTTTTTCACACCGTCCGTGAGATGAGCGCGCATGGAGTCACAAATCAACAGGGACGGTGACAAGTGGAAAAAAACGCATGGTCTCTTCACATACACCTCATTCAGCCACTAATTTGTCCTCATCCATCCAGCCGTTTTCGTTAGCCTTAACGATGACTCCAGCTGGAAATTTCTCTTGTGTGAAGCTGTGAAGCTTGAAGGATTTTTACTGCTATTTATATTTAGCTTTTTTCACTTTTTGAGCATTTGTTATGATGTGTAATCATGGCAACAAGTTGGTTTACAATCGGGAGCAGCTGATTAACATTGGAAAGGCTGAAATAATACCTCAACTGAAGCCACAAATCCCAAATGAGCTAAAACGCAATAAGCGTGGGTGCAGAGCGGGAGCAAAACGGAGACAGAGAAGGAGGAAATTCAAACCATCTCTTCCATCGATCATAATGGGCAATGTGAGATCACTGGCCAACAAGATGCAGGAACTCCAAGCCCTTTCAAGGACTCAGCCAGAATTTCAGCAGTTTTGGAACCACTGGAGGAGATAATGCAAAGAAGGATTCTCCAGAGAATCAAGAAAATTATGGACAACCCTGAGCATTCTCTTCACAAGACTGTTCGACAACGGAAGAGTGTCTTCAGTCAGAGGCTTATTCAGTTTCGCTGCAACACTGACCGCTACTGGAGATCCTTCCTGCCAACAGCCATTGTAATATACAGTAACTCTTTGATGACTTGATTATTATTATTATTCTGAGCTACTACATCAATCAATTTCCCTCTGGGATTAATAAAGTATTTTTGAATTGAATTGAATTGAATTTAGGCAGTCTTCCTCTTAAAAATCACTATAGGTGGCAGTTTCTGTCCAGCCAAGCACAACAGTAAAAGCTGATTTTTTGTGTCCCATTGTGCGCATCGCTACCATGCTAGTCCCCTTCTTCTCAACAGTGTGATTCACCAGGATGTCAAAAGTGAGCAGCACTTCGTCCATGTTGGTTATGTGGCTGGGCTGGATGTGTTTGTCGGCAATCTTCTTACTGCAGTAGGAGCAGAAGATGGACAGCTTTTCTTGGTAATCCACTGGAAGTTGCTGCACCACCGTAGTCCTTGCCCGGATGGAAAGATGGCAGCGTTTCATAAAACGAAAGCACCAAGACGAACCTCCTTGAAAATGTTCAATGTTCATTTCTTGCGCCAGCGTTACTGCTCTCAGACGAATGGTGATGGTAGAGACGCTTCTCCCAGCTGTCCTCTGCTCGTTTACCCATTGCTCAAGGCGGTCTTCCAGCTCAGGCCACCTGGCTTTGTGCCCGCGGAAACACAGTTGCGTCTTCTTTACTTGTCGGAGTTCGTTTTCCAACTTCCTCCACTTGCGAACCAAGGACTCATTAATGCTGAATTCTCTCGCCGCTGCTCTATTCCCGTGTTTCTCCGCGTAGCTGATCGCTTGCAGTTTAAACTGTGCTTCATAGGCGTGTCTCTTAGCAGGTGCCATTCTCAGGGTTGTCAGAACAATCTTCAGCATACCGTGCATACCTGCCCTTTTGAACTATTCGTGGTCTGTCTTCGCTCACGTCCACACGTTCACGCCACGCCCCTTGCCGTTCTCGCCACGCCCCTTGTCTTCTACTACGTTCGCGTCTCACAACAACACAATAGGCGCACCGCACCATAAGGCGCGGCGTACATTTTGGAGAAAATTTAAGACTTTTCGGTGCGCCTTATGGTCGTGAAAATACGATATGTAATGCAGGTATTGCTCTGCATATCACACACACACACACACACACACACACACACCCATTTATAGGTCTGTGGACACATTCAGCTGGCAATTAATTGATGAATAGGGATTTTTAAAGGCATCAGTCTATATACTGGGCTCATAAGGGAACAATCTGTATTCGGACATGAATGGATGACATTTCCTAGAACTTAGACGGAATAAGTATAATGAAGCCTGATGATCATTAATCAGAAAATCTATATCCCAGATTAGATCCTTAATAACCTACACAAGTTGCCGAAACAGGCAGAGCCAAGAGCTCCCTCAGCCAGGGAGACCCCCAGACTCCTGTCTAGCAGCTAAGCAAGAGAAGTCATAAATCACAGATGGAAGAAGCCCTCAGACTCAGCAGCAACCGCTCCCACACACAAAGTGTTCTCCCCTTGTACCAGGGAAATACCAAACAGACAACATATAACATAGAAACAATTGCGAAAGACAACACGGTGAAAACATAAAAAATATGTGCACCCTATCAATTCCATTAGAACCTGCAAGTCTCCAAAATCACTTAGAAACCAAAGGACTTGTCATACACTTCATACAGATTTCTAACTTGGCTTCATGTTTTCTACCAAAAATTTTCAATCCAAGCAAACTGAAAAAACAAATATTTACAGCTTGGTGACTCATTAACTTCCTTCCAACTTTTTAAAGATCCAGGCAAACATGATAAACCAGATCTCTTAGCCTGGAAAAACATTAAGAAGGCTACCGAATTTAGGACAAATCCATCCAATGTCATTAATCAAAACTCTTCAAACATAAGACATGCTTCACTGATACTCTCATCAGCAGCACCAGAACACCACAATGGGCCTTAACAAAGAAACTTTAGATAAAACAGCAGGCCACTCAACTTATTACTACTGAAACACTTTAACTCCACTTAAGACACGACTAAACAACAAACTAAGTGCCTTAAATTTAAAACAAAATTTTGAAAAAGCCCTTTTCATCGCAGACTCACAACAGGTGACCTCACCACACAGGAATGATTTAGCAGCTCCAGTTACAGACACAATACAGTCTCCCCCTCTCTCATGTGTTGCAGGCCCTCCTGGGGTAAAACTCACCCTTATTCATAGCTGGCTTGGAAAGATTGCAGAACACGAGAGAATACAGTTCAGGTCAGGTCAGCTGGACCTCCAGATTCGTGACAAATTGTAGTGAATTCAGCCAGGGTTTGCCATCTTTGAATCAACCGATGAGTATGTTCTGAAGAAAGGCTCCCTGAGAGACTCTTTGACATCAGAAACTTTATTAATATGTCCACATCAGAACAGGTTTGATGGATCAGGAACCAGGAGGAATTCAGCCAAATGAAATCCCCCGAACAACGCCCAAATGCTCCTTTTTATTTACTTGGGGAACATATTACCACTCCCATGGTAGGAGGGGATAGCATCCACCCATATTGGACGAACCAATCCATACCTTTACTATATTAGCTTTAAATAGCCTAAGGCACTTCCTTCTAAAAAAAAAGTAAGCTTTCTGCACACAAAGAAATGCTCACGTGGGCCAGAGTAAATCCCCTGACAACATATAGTAACCAAGTTCTGCTGCTGTGGTATTTTCTTTAGATAACACAAAATGATTTTCTAATGATTCAACAACATATAATTAAGTAATTGTAGTTACAGGATGTCTGATTTAATATTTCATGTTAAAGCTTATATTTGCTTTATTATATAATTTAACTTTTAATCCAATCTCACAAAAAAATGACTAAACGTTGTCATTTTAGTCACAATGACTGTCTAATTTTAGTCCAACAAAACAGCTTTTCTCACAAACGTTAGATAAAATAACTTTATAACTGGATAATCTCAGTCTTAGATGATGTTTTTGGCACAAACGTCTCGGGTCATGTAACCTCTCAGAATAAACCCTGCAACGAACCATGCTAACCTGAGACAAGTGTTTGTGCAACCTGCAGAACGCAGGGATCATGACTGTGGACCAGAGATGAGAGGTTTAACTGCAGAAAATGTCAAAAAGATATGTTCAATATTATGAAAGGATCATGAACTTCGATCATAAAACAGAAGGAAACCTGATTTAAGTTGTATATGCAAAACCAAATTTGGTTTGATCTCAAAAAACAAGACCTGAATCAGTTTTAACGTGTCCATTTTTGGGGTTATACAAGTTTGTGTAGTTGTGTTTATGTATTTAGCAGATGCTTTTGTCCAAAGTGATTTACAAGTGATAATAAAGCAAGCAGGTTGCCCTCGAGGCTAACAATAAACACTAATCTGTCAATTTTAGGTGGCAGGTCTCTGGTGTCCCACCTCTAGAATCTGATGCTTTTCAGTTTGGTTTCCTGTCAAGGCTTCAGGAAGCTTCTGGTTTGACATGTTCAAACTTATCTTCATTCTGTATCACATAGCTTTTACCTAAGGGGGGTGGGGGTGGGTTGGGGGGTAGTCAGAGGGATCAGAGGTTCATTATCCAAACAGACCAAAGCTTCTACAAGAAGCTGGCTACATGGTACAGAAATTGATTTGACTTCCAGGTAACGTAAAATAATCCAGCAATAATTCATCAACTCTTCATCTACACTATGATGATTTCATTTAAGACTTTTCCAGAGTATTTTTTTAAAGTTGCAGGGAATGAACTCGTATCAGGTTGCTGTTTTTTAAGAGATCCGTGAGTGTCTCATTAGTTGATTCAGATTTTCTGAAGCTGCTCTTGTTTCTCTTTTAAATCCAGCAACAAACTGGGCCTCAGACGTGTTTAAATCTGAGGGAATAATTGCAAAACCACACAAAGCAACAGTCATTTTCTTTGTGAAGGTCAGGAATGTTTTTTTTTTTTTTTTTCAAATTATGCAACAAAAACCTCTTAATGAAACCAGAAGGACTTTGAAAGGCATTTTAGTCAGAAGTCTGATGGGTTTTTAAATGAAGCCTGAGGCTTTTTTCCTCTACGGTCGGATGTCTGACACCTGAGACCTGAGACCTGAGGTCCTAAAACATACACCGTACTAATGGTTGCCACTGAGAGCATGCTTCCTCTGATCAGTCAAGAAAGTCATTTTTCTTCTGCCATCAAGTCAAACTTGAGGAATTTGGGTGTTGTTTTTGACCAGTGTCTTTTGAAGGCCACTCAAAAAGGGCTGGTCCAACACCCTTGTTTTTATCATTTTAGAAATATCTCCAAACTGTGAAGGTTGGTGTCAAAACATGAACTTGAAATAGTTATTTATGCTTTTATCTCTTCCCGTCTAGATAATTGTAACACATTTTTCACGTTTTAACAAAAAAAAGCCTTGACCGCCTTCAGTTGGTCCAGAACTCTGCAGCGAGGCTCCTAACTGGAACCAACAGAAGAGCTCACACCACTCCTATTGTGATGTCTCTGCACTGGTTACCCATTAACTTTAGAATCCATTTTAGAATCCTGACCATAACATTCAGTGCTCATGTTCAAGCCTTTCCATCCTACATTACCAAACTGTTAAAGCCTTACCTTCTCAGTGGCCTAACAGTAGAGCATCCGCCCTGGGACTGGGAGAATAGGGTCTGTGGCGCCTAGGGCACTTGTCAGGATAACCCTCATGCGCTCCGGAGGATAAAGTGACACTGAGGAGGCTGATGTCCAGTATAGACCCAAGTGCATTTTTTTGCATTTTTACAAGTAAAAAGCTAGGCAGCAAAAATCCATACATGCCGCTCCATCCATCTCTAACTCTCCAAAAACACAGAGCTGTATTTATAACAGGTGTGATGTAAGAAGAAGAGTGGGTATGAGTATTGAAGATTTGAAATGGTAAATGATTGAGTGAATTATACCCATTTCCAACATCACATGGATTTCCTTCTTTAGGCTCGTCACCAGCCTCTCTGGAACCCTGTAGCTCTTTCGGCGCGGAGCTGCTTCCTCCTTCAATCGAATGTTGTGTTGCACCAAGTCAGTGTATCCAGGGGTGTCTTTAAAGAGTTCTGGATCGATGAGCAGAGCCACCTCTTCCTGTTGAGTCACAGATTGGTGTGATGTCTATGACGGATGACTCACCCAGGTGTCCTGGTATTAACTTCTCTGGTGTCTCTTCATCCCACACAGCACGAATCAGCAAAATCGAGTCCTGACAAGACAGAAATTCTTTCAACAAGTTCACATGGAAGGTCTGATATTTTTTAGTTCTGTCAGGCATGAACAGTTCATTGGTGAGCTTACCCACTTTCCTTGTGACTTTATAAGGACCAAACCATTTAGCAAGGAGATTGTTTTCCGAAGTGGGAAGGAGTAAGAGTGCCTGTTGGCCTGGTGTGAAGCTTCTCTCCCTAGCCTTGCGGCCGTACCACCTCATTTGGTTCTGCTGGGCTGTCATCAAGGACTCCTGTGCCAATGCAATCATTTCCTCCAAGCGTTGCCTCATCTTCACCAAATAGGCCACCACGTTCTCCCCTGTAGATGTTGGATTTTCCCAGTAGTCCTTAACTCATTCACTGCCATTGACGACTAAAGTCGTCATTTTAGATCCAACCGTTCACTGCCAATGACGACTAAAGTCGTCATTTGCATTTTTTTTTTTTTACTGTTTGAGCATCAGAACGAGCCCCCGCGCTGAGAGAACAAACATCTCAGCCCTAAAGCCGATCTTCATCTGCATACGACACACGTCACATGATCAGGAAACAGACCATCCATGTATTAGGAGATCGTTTTGGGCCTTTCCTGTAAAAAAAGTGAGGCGCGAACCAGAAAAGCGTCTGGCGATCACAATTCAACAACGGATTATGAAAGAACGGATAACGCTCGAAACACACGGATTCTTCCTGATGTAAGAGGTGAGTCTCCGCTTTGTTTTGGTTGTTTTGGCATCGACATCATCCTAGCGTGCAATGTTCTGTGGCTCTTAACAACCAATGTTCTGTGACTCTTATAGAGCTCTTAACAACCAGGCTCCAAGCTACCTATCTGAGCTTTTATCCCCACACACCACCTCTCGGAACCTTAGATCCACATCTGAAAACCTCCTGGCTGTTCCTCGAACCAGACTGAAAACCAAAGGGGACAGGGCCTTTCAGACTATTGCACCCAGACTTTGGAACAGTCTACCTTCAAATCTCCGTCTCTCTAACGCTGTAGAGGTCTTTAAAAATCATCTAAAAAATCACCTTTTCATCCAGGCGTTCTCTCCATAAATGTTTCAGAATGATGGCTTTGTTCGGGTTCACACCTTCACTTTGTTTATACTCATGATTTTATTTTCTACGTTTATCACTGCTATTGTTTTTCTGATGTTTTTATTGGTTAGAGGTATTTGACCTGATCTTTATCATGTTGTACAGCGCTTTGTGATTCATATCTGAGAAAGGCGCTATATAAATAAACTTTTACTTACTTACTTACTTACTTACTCTTAAAAAAACCGTGAAAACGGTGAGAAACGTTGGCAGCGAAGGCTGTTAGCGATCAGGAAACGGCTGGCAGTGAATGAGTTAAGCAGGTCCAAGAGCCCTCTCACTTTGTGACCGTAGAGCAGCTCAAATGGGGAAAATCCATTTGAAGCTTGTGGCACCTCCCAGTATGCAAACAACAGGTACGGCAACCATTGGTCCCAGTCCTTTCCCGTCTGAGAAACAAACTTCCGCAGCATATTTTTCAAAGTTTGGTTATACCGTTCCACTAGCCCGTCCGTATTGGGGTGGTACGGGGTGGTCCTAATCCCCTTAAACCCTAGGAGCTTGTACACCTGCTGTAATAACTTTGACATGAAGTTTGTCCCACAGTCAGTCAAAATCTCTCTAGGAATCCCTACTCTAGAGAATAACGTTAGGCTATGCAAATAACCACTGTTCCCTGAAGGAGAGGAACGAGGTACAACGAAGGTACTATGGGACATCACGCCCTCGTGTGGCCTGGCTGAAGACACATTTAATCCCGCCTGTAAGGCAAATGAAAGTGACGCTGCGTGGAGGTCCCGCCCTGCAACCGTGTCACTCAATCCTCAGTTTGATAGCCGCTCTTCACCGAGCTGAGCTGTGAAATGGGGCAGTCCTGCATTATACCTTGCTCCTCTCCTTCAGGGAACAGTGGTTATATGCATAACCTAACATTGAAATGCCCCATGAGCAGCTGTCAAACCTGGCCTGAGATTGCAACCTAAGATGGCAAATCAGATCCAGCAGAGAGAACCGCATGGGCCACCAAAGGGGCCAAAACATCCAAGCGGTAAAACCTCATGAAGGTTTGGGGTGTAGCCCAGCTTGCAGCTGAGCAAATGTCACTAACTGAAACACCTTTAAACAGTGCCCGAGAAGCAGCCACACCTCTAGTAGAGTGTGCCCTGACCCC